AAAAAAAAAATTTTAAAAATAAAATACTGCACTTTGGTCCTCATCACTACAAGCATTGCTTTATTCCAGTTCAGGCCAGAGCTGTTCCTCCCTTAAACATATACACTAAAGGTCCTTTGAGTCATGATGCTTATAAAAACTACCTCAAGTTGTAAGTTCCTAGGAACTTTAAATTAAACTCGTGAACAGCCAGTTTTACTGGACACATCTGGCCATGAAACTAAAATGTCTCCTGTCTAGTCACAGCATGCAATTAGTTTTCATGAAATATCTCAAAGCAGAATCTTAGGAGGTTGTCTGAACTTCAGATGTTCCCCAAGAGAGGTCCAAAATACAATTACTTAGGAATTATTTTCCTAAAACAGCATACTTATCCCAGGACTAATGCTACAAGTTTGCCAATTCCAGCTTGAGAATACAGAAACCCAACACGTCTTTAGCATATTCACTGGCAGATAAAAGGCATTAATGATACTCTTAATATACACGTATGATTTATACGTAGGTAAAAAAGCAATCAAAGCTGAAAAAGCAATCAAATACTTGTAAGTCTACAAGTATTTCTCTTACTTGAGATACTGATACCACTAACATAGAGGTACCTCCACAGTTACACTTCCACACAGCAATCAAAAAAGCATAAAGCAAAGTGTGAGACTTTCCATTGAAAAAGGCTTGGAAGAAATCATTCTGAGTATTGAACAGCTTTTAGTATAACAAAAAGCAACAAAGCAGAATACTTTTCACTACTGCATTTTAAGAAGTAGTGTTCCATTGTGAATAAGAACACATATGTTAGAATCAGACAGATCTGAGTTCAAACCCTACCCCTTCCACTTACTAGCCTTTGTGATTCTGGGAAAGTTAGTTAATCCTTATATAAGCCTTAAACTGTAAAACAGGAATAATACAACCTACCTTACAAAGTTACTTAAAATGTTAAATCAAAAATGTTTGAAATGCACTCACTACAACACCTGAAACAAAAGTAAATATTCAATAAGGTATAGTTATTTATTATTAACAGTCTTTCAAGACTAGAACAATTTCTTTTTTTTTTTTTTTTTCAACGTTTATTTATTTTTTTGACAGAGAGAGACAGAGCATGAACGGGGGAGGGGCAGAGAGAGAGGGAGACACAAAATCGGAAACAGGCTCCAGGCTCTGAGCCATCAGCCCAGAGCCCGACGCGGGGCTCGAACTCACGGACCGCGAGATCGTGACCTGGCTGAAGTCGGACGCCTAACCGACTGCGCCACCCAGGCGCCCAAGACTAGAACAATTTCAACAACTACTTACTTTTGCCAGTAAACCAATTAACACAAACTCTGAGATACTAAATAAGGTCCCTGATCTTGAAAGGGATGTCAAAAACCAAACATTTAGGATCAAAATTTAATTATAGGGGCACCTTGGTGGCTCAGTGTCCAACTCTTGATTTTGGCTCAAGTCATGATCTCACGGTTCATGAGATTGAGCCCAAAGTTGGGCTCTGTGCTGACAGCACAGAGCCTGCTTAGGATTCTCTCTCTCTCCCTCTCTACCCCTCCCCTGCTCTCCCTCTAAAATAATAAATAAATACTTTAATTTTTTTAAATTTAATTTTAAAAGAAGCTTAGGTTTTCAAACTGTTAATGGTAAGAACAAGGGCCCTGCTGTCTTTTTAATCCTAAACACTTTTCTCTCCTATGACCATCAAAATAGGATTAAAGAGCAATCATTTGATTTAAATGTTTTCTTTTAATAAAACATTTCCCAGCAGAGACTGAATCAACATTAAGAGAATCAAAACAAATAGAAGAATGTGAATTTGATAAGGTTATATCTTCTTCAATATCAAGGATATAAACAAAAGGCAAAAAATGGGCAGGGAACAAATTGTTCAAATGAGAAATATCTAACTTTTAATATCTTCTATTTTAAATTATCTTATTTGTATTGGAAGACAAAACCTTTAAACCACAGATGTTACATATTTACATAGACTCTTCAATGCATGGAAAATTTTTTAAATCTTACAAAGTTAATTAAGTGCCCACTTAAATTTTTGCACTCAATAAAGGAAAACATTCTAACTAGGGTAAAGTTGTTTTCTGTTTTAAAACTAAAACTTTGCCTAAGATGTCAAACTCTATTAAAAATTATGAACTATCAGAGGAATAAATTTACTAACTTAATAAACTTGTAACAGGAAGAAACTTAGCACGTCTAACTCCATATTGCTTCTATTTCCCTTGCTGCTGTGACCTACAGCTTAGGAACTTCTGATTAGCATGTTAATCATTGAAGGAATTTTGCTTATGGCAAAAACTGCTTTTTTACCCAAAACCTATCTCACTTGAGGAGATAAGGAAGTATGTACAGAAATGACTATGCTATGCTTAAGATTTACAGGAACACATGACCAGATTCCTATACTGAAAGATCAACTGACCAAAGATAAAGAAGTTACATGACCATCCTCCAATGTCTACAGATGTCAGTCACATTTTGACTCCAACCCCCAATGCTTCTAAACAGAGCAGGATGTGATCAAAGATATACTTTGAGAAAAATTTATAGCAGTGGTATGTACCTATACAGAAAAGAGATGAGCAGACCAGTGCAGGGCCACCTAGGTGGCTCAGTCAGTTGAGCATCTAACTCTTCATTTCAGCTCAGGTTATGACCCAGGATTGTGGGATTGAGCCCCACATAGGGCTATATGCTGGGTGTGGAGCCTGCTTAAGATTCTCTCTCCCTCCCTCTCCCTCTCTCTCTCTCTCTCTCTCTCTCTCTCTCGCCCTCTGCTCTCCCCCGCTTGCTCTCTCTCTCTCTCTCTCCCCTTCCCTCTCAAATAAAAATAAAATAAAAATTGTTTAAAAAAGACCTTAATTGTTTTAAAAAAAAGTAATAATATGAGAAAGATGTAGCAAGTGATATTATTCAATCACACAAATGATTTCTTGAGGGGTCTTAGACAAATGACCTCATTTGTCTGCATCCCTGCTCTCACTTGAAAATTGAAGTTTGCCACTCAGCCACAACCTTAAGATTCTCAATGGGAAAATTCTACAAACACATCAAGGCACTGTGTTAACAGATATAAAATAACACTAAAGACTATGACCTACAACTTGCTTTCATTTCTAGCTTTTTCTTAGCAACATAACTTTGGAATTATGCTTATGCCTCATCAGTTTAACCACTATCTATCTGTCTCCAAAAAAAAGCAATCCCTTTCTGAATAAGAATGTACCGAAAGGGAAAGAGTCAAGATTAAACATGATAGGGGCACCTAGTTGGTTCAGTTGGTGGAGTGTATGACTCTTGATCTCAGGGTTTTGAGTTTGAGCCCTATGTTGGGTATAGAGATTACTTAAAAATAAAATCTTTACAAAAAAAAAAAAAAGATGAGACATGACAGAGTTTTAATAGAGCCTATGAAGGTCTAACTACCTGCCTTTATTTCTCTCTTTGTAATCTATAGTCCCAAGTAAAGGACAGAGAAGGGGTACAAAGCTCCTTACATAACTGTTAGCAACAAAAAGAGAACAGTGGACAAGATACAGGTCTCCCCCATTATCCAAAAGCATTCCTATGAAACCCTTCATAATGCAAAAAGGCATAAAGTGGAGAAGCAATTACTATTAATGTATATGGAAAAAGTTTTGAGCATTCCCAGATCCAAAAAATCACCTCTCTTAGGTTTTCTGATACCTTAGGACAGACACATCTTGCTAACAGATGCACAAAATAAATTGAGATAAAGCACAGATGCTCAAAGACACAGTTCAAAGTTCTGGCAGCTTAATACTGAGATGCTGAGTGTAGTTCTCGGGGAAGGAGTTGGGCAGCGCCACTCTCCCTGGTCAGGTGCATGCTGCCTCTATTATAAGGGCTCGCTGTAAAACAAATGTGGAATGCTATTTCTGCTTTTCATCTTTTTTCATAAAAGTTAACATCCTCTTCAGATTTCTTTCAGTTACTTATAGAAGGCTTAAGGACAATGTACAGTGCCTAGCAAAGAGTTTTGCTCACAATTGCTGAAGATGGAATTAAAAAGAAAAAGAAGACAGTATGAGATACAAAGAATAAGTGAGTTAAGCAGGCATTAAGAGGGTGCAGGCAGTAATAGCATCCATTGGCAAAACAGCTAGGATACAACAGTAAAACATGATTTTTCTGTCTGAGGAACTTACAGCTTTGTGAAGAAGAAAATTTGGAGGAAAGAGATAATATACACCATGCATCTGGAATGACGTAATGCTCAAATTAATAAGTAATGGCTACCTTTTACTGAATGTGTCAAACACGGTGCAAAGAACATTACAGACATTATCTCATTTAATCCTCACACCCCCATGAGTCAGATATTATTATCCCTGCTTTTCATATGGGAAACTAAGACCTGGAGCTAGGATAAATAACTTACTCAGGGTCATAAAATCAGCAAATAGTGGGGCTATGATTCAAACCAACATCTAAGGCCAAAGCCACTCTTAACCACCAGGAACCAGGCTGATGATACTGAAGGTGATGGGAAGTAAGCAGGTACTGAATAGATTTTGAAATGTAGCCAGCTAGATTTGCTGAAAGATGAAGAGCAGGGTATAATTGAAAAGGTGTTAGGTAATATCTATAGAACCAGATGACTATATCAATGAGATGCAATGCCTTATCAAAAGACAATCCCTTTCTGGCCCCTACTTTCCTTCTCTAGATACAACCAATGGGCATTTCTTTGAGCTGTGAGAGCCAGTTCATAAAGCATATAAAAGCACCCCAACCTGGGGCGCCTGGGTGGCGCAGTCGGTTAAGTGTCCGACTTCAGCCAGGTCACGATCTCGCGGTCCGTGAGTTCGAGCCCCACGTCGGGCTCTGGGCTGATGGCTCGGAGCCTGGAGCCTGTTTCCGATTCTGTGTCTCCCTCTCTCTCTGCCCCTCCCCCGTTCATGCTCTGTCTCTCTCTGTCCCAAAAAAAAAAAAGTTGAAAAAAAAAAGCACCCCAACCTACTCTCCTTTTTAACTTTCTATTTTGAAATAATCTTAGACTCACCAAACAGTTGCTAAAAGAGTAGAGTTCCTATATACCCTTCAACTAGCTTCAGCTAATGTTAACATCTTGTGTAACCATAGTACAACTATCAAAACCAATAAATTACAAGTGATGCAATACTAGTAACTAAATTTTGCCAGTTGTGAGTAATTGCAAATAAAGTTTCCATAAATATTCTTGCACATATCTAGTGATGCCCTATGTCTCAGGGGTCCCCAGGACCATGCTCTGGGAGATGATTCACTGAAAGGACTCACAGGTCTCAGAAAAGCTGTTACCTTCAGTTATAGCTTTTTAGAGCAAAAGGATACAGACTGAAATAAGCAAAGAGAAAAGGAATATGAGCAAAGTCCAGTAGAAACCAGGCACAAGCTTCCAGGTGTCATCCCACAGTGGAGTTGCATGGACATGCTTAATTTCCCCAGCGATGATGTGTGACAACACGTGTGAAGTGTTATCAACCAGAAAAGCATGCCCAAGCCCTGGTATCCAGAGATTTTACTGGGAGTCAGTCACAAGGCATCTAGGACCTGCATGACTAACCACAGCTTTCAGATTCCAGTCCCCATAGGTGTTCACCATAAATCAAATTGTTTGCATAAACTATCTGATCCAACTGGTACTGTGTGGTCCAAGGCCTCCAGCATATGAAAACACTCTTCTAGAAAGAATATTCCAAGGGCACCGAATTTGTCTCAGAGACAAGAGCCAATCTTTAAGATACGCCTTTCTCGGGAATGTGCTGGGTTTGGGCAATTCACACCAGTTAATTCTTTCCTACACAATCTATGAGTGCATTTCTGAGCTATCTCATTCATTTTAACAATGGCATGATATTGTATTCTCTGGATGCACCACCACTAATTTAGCCTACTTATTAACCTTTAAGCTGTTTCTAGCTTTTGGCTTCTCTCAACACTAAAAACAAAGTTTTAGAAGTTATAAAGAGCTACACAAAAGAAAATACAACTTTCTGGAATTATTGTCAGTAATGATACACAAAGGTTTAGTCTAGTATGAGTTTTAGTCACCTGAATGAATAAAAGGGTAGCTTTCAGAGTAACTTGATTTCAATTGTGAATGAACAAACAGAAGGCACTTATGGAAAACAAAAAAAGTTGTAAAGGACATTTCTCATCGCATAGAAGTCCTATAGTGTTTGCTTTCGGCAGTTATAGGAAGTAATCAAAGTAAACCAAAAATCAGGGGCACCCTGGGTGGCTCAGTCGGTTAAGCATCTGACCTCAGCTCTGGTCATGACCTCAGTTCATGTGTTTTAGCCCCGCATCAGGCTCTGGGCTGACAGCTCAGAGTCTGGGGCCTGCTTTGGACTCTGTGTCTCCCTCTCTCTCTGCCCTTTCTGTGCTAGTACTCTGTCTCTCTCTGTATCACTCAAAAATAAATAAACATTAAAAAAATTTTTTTAAGTAAACCAAAAATCACATGACCATACAATAACATTACACAATAACAAACTATAGCTCTAGAGTTTCAATAACTTTTATATATGTATCTAGAGCCTAGGATTCTTATTTTACAATCAGAATGCTTCATTAGGCTTTCACAATAAATGCCAAGTACTGAGTTTTTATGTTAATAAGAATAAATGTCAAAATTAGGGGTACATACACTCTCCCCTATCCTGTAAGTCATAAACATAATACTCTAATTTTGTAACTAATAAAGCCTTAATTATTTTAAATGTATGGGCCTAGATGCCTATTTTTTTTAATTTTTTTAAGTCTGTATTTAAATTCCAGTTAGTTAACTTACAATGTAATATTCGTTTCAGGTGTACAATTTAATGATTCAACACTTCCATACAACATATTTTTTTCATTTTTAATGCTTATTAATAGCTAAGATAAGATATAACCCTACAAGATTAAACTTACTTTGCATGATGGGACAGCTAAAGGTAGAAAAGAAGTCCTGGGCACCTGGGTGGCTTGGTCGGTTAAGCATCCAATTGTTGATTTTGGCTCAGATCACAATCTCACAGTTGGTGAGATCGAGCCCTATGTCAGGCTCTGTGCTGACAGTGTGGAGCTTGCTTGGGATTCTCTCTCTCCCTCTCTCTCTGCCCCTCCCTTGCTCATGCTCTCTAGAAAGGAAGGAATGAAGTCCTGGCCCATGTGAAGTTTACCAATAAACTGAGAAAAAAAGAATGTATTTTTATGCTTTTGTCAAATAATAACAAAATGCTTAACCTTACAATATGTGCCTCACAAAAAGAGAGACAAATAATTTCCACTAGTTAATGATTTAAAACACTTACGTCTTTAAAATAAGAAATACACATATTTTAATTCATTTTTCTGCAAACAGCTTTAAACATTTAAAAAACATTAATATTTTGAAAAAAACTTTGTTATGCAATAAATTAGAGTAATGCATATTCTTAAAAGGCACATAATCAAGAACAACAATCAAGATGACAACAACAGGAAAATTGGTTATAATCACATCTCAGTAAAATAGTTTGTATTTTAACAACAACTTTCAATGAAAATAAGACACTTTCTTCTTAGATTGTTTAAATAGTATATCCAAATTTTTCTTGATATACCACTTTTCTAAGTTCACTTATTCCCATATACTAGTCCCATATATATGGTCCCATATACTAGTCCCATAGACACATATGTCACTGGTTCCCATATACTAGAAAATATTTATACCATATCAAGAAATAAAGATAGAACAAGATAGAAGGGAAAGAGAAAAGAACTTTCAATGCTATTCATATACTAACAATTGAAATTAACTTTGTTGAATTCTCAGAGTACCTGGGTGGTTCAGTCAATTAAGTGGCTGACTTTAGCTCAGGTCATGATCTCACAGTTTGCAGGTTCAGGCTCCGCCTCAGGCTCTATGCTGACAGCTCAGAGCCTGGAGCCTGCTTTGAATTCTGTGTCTCCCTCTATGTCCCTCTCCCGCTCGTGCTCTGTCTCTCTCAAAAATAAACAAACATTTAAAAAAAAAAAACTTTGTTGAATTTTCTGAAACACTAAAAATTTAGACCTTGGCACTTTGTGCATTTTTTGCATCTGGGTTGGCTTGTTCAAAATACAATTTGAAGCATTTTTGAAGAAGCATCTTGAAAGTTAAAAAGTTAAACTCCTTTTATCAATGTATTTTTATTCCCCTTTATTCAAATAGCTTATAAAACTCTAAGATGGAAAACAAGACAAATTAACAACATGGCTAGCATGGCATATTATAAAGGTTAGTATAAAAAACAAGGCGGGAATGTCAGCAGTAAGCATAAAAAAATCAAATTATGTTCAAAAAAATAAAGAAAAATATTCAAATGGATGTAAATATTATATATATATGGTAAGTATATTTTTATAAGCCTTAATTATAAATTTTTTTAAACTTTTCAGGTCTCTTCACAAAACTCTTAAAATTAGTTCCCTCCTCCGTAAACAATAGGTGCATTACCAGTAACCCATACTAAAACTTAATCATCATTTAATAAATTACTTTCCTTATTCAGCTCAAGAGATAAAACTTTACTTTCAGTTGTTCTTTGCAGATGTTGAAGTTAGTATACAACTCTGTGATATTATTTCAGGGTCCCATATATACTCTTTTAAAAATTAAGATATAACTGACATCTCACATTATATTAGTATCAGGTATACAATATGATTCAATAATTGTAATTTTATTAGCTGTTATTTCCTAAATATTACTTGTCCATAGTATGAGGCCCTGGAAATCAGAGAAATAGAAGACATAATCCTGTCTTTAAGAAGTCGACAGTTCAGGGGCGCCTGAGTGGCTCAGTCGGTTGGGCGTCCAACTTCAGCTCAAGTCATGATCTCACGGTTGGTGAGTTCATGCCCCACATCGGGCTCTGTGCTGTCAGCTCAGAGGCTCTGTGCTGTCAGCTCAGAGCCTGGAGCCTGGAGCCTGCTTTGGATTCTATGTCTCCCTCTCCCTTTGCCCCTCCCCCACTGGCACTCTCTGTCTCTCAAAAATAAATAAAAACGTTAAAAAAAAAAAAGAAGTTTATGTTCATTATTATTCTGTAAGTCTCAGAGAAAAAGATAATCCCACTACAGAAAAAAGTACCAAAACTGGCATCCAAAAGATCTTGCATTCTACCCATTAATTGCCCTCTCCTATGCTAAGTATCCTTGAACAAGTCAGGTCACGCTCAGCCTGTGTCATCTGTAAAATGAAGGAGTTAATCTAAGTGACCTTTAAGACCCTTTTGGCAAGAAAAGCCTATTATTTTAATCTGATACATAATTTACAATATGTGTAATAACTATTCTGTGTATGGTAATTAGAAGTCTGTGATAACAAGGCAACATAAATAACCATAACCACAATTTATTTTATGCGAGCAATATTTAAATTCTTCTCTTATGTTATTTTCAACCAGTATCTACAAACAGTTTTAGAGTGTTCTGGTTTTTTTCCAATACTAGGATGGACACACTTTTAAAGACAAAGATTCTGCATCATACATCCCAATAGCAGAATGTCCCTTACACCTCAGCCCCATAAACTACAGGAAACAGGATTCTGCAAGACTTATAGAACTGCATTCTCAAAACATAGTCTGTAAATATGTTCAATGGTCTGTAAATTCTGAGAATTTTTAACTTTTATGTCATTTCAGTGATGGCCTCAAAATATTAGTATAGACACTTTATAAATGAAAACTGCAACATGATGTCAGTGTCTGTTTTCAATCAAGTGATGCCAAGTCATATCACACTAATTGTCAGGGACTAATGAGAAAAGAGTAATGGCAGACTTTAAATGTATATGCATTCACACCCAGGTGACGGCCAAATGATGTCACCCTTCCCAAACAGAAGAAGGTTCTGTAGAGAGAAAAGAGGTGGGAAAGTTGAGTCACCATATGACCTACAGGAGAATATGTATATGTATACAAAACAGAAGAATATGTATATGTATATACACATACATATATGTATACATATACGTATTCTCTCTCCCTCTGTATTATATACATATATATATAATCCAAAAGAACCTGTGCCATAAATTAATTTATTTACGTTGCAAGCAATAATTTGATTTAGCAAATCATCATTAACAGCACAGTAATTAATTTGAATGGTACTGTATTGTTTGTAAATGCAACCCACATTTATGGTTTCATGCTGTGATTTGATACAAAAAGTCATTAGCTTATTTCATTAATTCTTTATGTTTCTGTAATATTAAAATAAAACCGAAGTCAACACTGGGGGTTCATGAAAATATTACTTGCATTTAAAATTAGATCAATACCTGGGTGGCTCAGTCAGTTAAGCGTCCAACTTGGGCTCTGTGCTGGCAGCTCAGAGCCTGGAGCCTTCTTCAGGATTCTGTGTCTCCCTCTCTCTCTGCCTCACCCCTTCTCACACTCTGTCTCTGTCTCTCTCAAAAATAAATAAACATTAAAAAATTTTTTAAATAAATAAAATAAAACTAGGTCAATGCCTTAAACTAGTTGGAGGAAATACTGCTTTTATGAGCAGACTGCTCTATTCCCTTCCTCCTAATTCTATAAACTTATGGACTTGTGGTAGCACTAGCCCTGGGTGCTTAGCCTAGAGAGAAGGGAGAAGGGAGATGGGTGCGGAATTGGGGCTGAAAACTATGACCCGTGGATCAAATCTGGCCCTCCATCTGTTTTTGTAATCAAAGTTTTATTGAACCACAACTATACCCATTTGTTTGCAAACTGTTTACAGTTATTTTCAAGCTATAATGGCAGAGTTTAGTAGTTGCCACAGAGACAGCATAGCCCACAAAGCCTAAAATATTACTATCCGGCCCTTTACAGAAAAAGTATGCCGACATATGGCCCAGATGAGCTAATAGGGCAAAATGAGAATAGACCACTAGCATTTGAAAGTCCTGAAGCAAGCAAGCAAGCAAGCTATTTCTGGAAGAGAGATAAGACAGTAAGATTCTCTCATGGGTAAAATGAAGGTGTTAAATATTAGTTATAAACTTACAGCTTTCTTCAACTACTCATTTGTTAAGCTGTATGTGAGGGTCTGTGCTAAGTATATTTAATTCAAAAGAACAACTAGTTTCTACTATCGGAGGAATGCTTTTAAGTACCCTCCTCTAACTTTTCTAAGGATCTATTGAAGACTGAGCACTATACCACTGTTTTAAAGTTGGGCAAGTCCCATATTTACATATTAGAAAACTGAAAGATGGCAAAGTTATTAAGTTACAGTTATACGGTTAATAAATGGAGGAGTCTGAATTCTAACCCAGATCCATTTGACTCCAGAGCCCA